ATAAAGGTTGGATTTTGGTTGTTTATGTCAAATATGTTATATTAAGTTGAGATTCAGAAGTTGAAATGGTTTGGAATCGAAATGGTTTGAGGAAAATGTATGAAAATGAGAATTTTCGACTTTTGAATGCATTGAAAGTATGCAGACTTTGAAAATATGTATAAAATCGTAGAAAAATCCAAATAAGGTGAGGACAATTTTCTTAGTTAGATATTTGAGTCTAGTTTATTTCTTATTTTATGATCAAGGCATGATTTCGAGCTTAAAATGGGCAAAATAGTTCTGCATGCAGCAGCTGTACAGAGAAATTTAAGTAAAATGTTCAAATAGGATATGTGTATATCATGGGTTTCTTATATTGATTGCTTATGAAATTTTGTACATTTACTCCAGGGGGTAATTAAGACATATTTTGATACTTTGGAAGCAATCTAAGTGTGGTAGATTGGACTTGCTTTGTGAACTCAATTCAGAGCTTTTCGGTATTGTACGGTTGCCCGGTGAGTTATATAGTTAATTGTTACATATTGATTTAAACATATATATTTTCATATGAATGTTTTGGTCTTGAATGGAGTCACAATATCTTGATTTGTCTTTGATTCCGTCTCTTGAGTCGATTCCTTATTACTATCTCGGTGCATTAGTTTGCTTTCTTGATCCGGACTCGTTATTTTGTTCTTGAATTGTATGCAATAGTATGGGTACTACTTCGTGTGGCACGCCGGAAGTTTATGGCGAAGTCAAGATCCCGGGTTGAACGGGTGAGACTTTCTGTGGTTGTGAATACTCATTGCTCAGAAAGGAGGAAGAGCAATGAGTAGGGAACCTTGGCACATACCCGGTAGAGGAAGGCGGGCAGTGCGAGGTTTCCCGTAATGTATGATTCTGACTCGGACTTTGGCATGAGCCCGGGAGGTGAAGGACGGGGTGATGCACTGTCTTCGTTATGTATACCGATTCGATCTCTTGGTTCTAGATATTTATTGGTATTCTAACGTTGTTTAATATATTTGGTCGTTGAACCTATCTCCTTGTTGTATTGAGCAACAATGGTATGGTATAATATGGTGATTTGWATATGGAATCCTATGATCTTGGCATCCGGTACGTAATGGTTCACTCGGTTTCTTGTAAGTCTCGGTTTATATCTAGATGATGTCTTGAACTGTTTTATTGATAAGAGTTTATTATGTATGTTTATAATCATGTGTGATATTGATATGTAATGCTTAACTATTTAACTCACTAAGCGTTGACTTACCATTTAAGTGACAACCTTTCTCAGGAAAGAAGACGGATAAATAGAAAGAACCCGTTGTCTGACTTGAAGATTTATCGGGGAACTTGAAGATATCGATCTTGATTTTGGGTAAATAGTAGCTTATATATATAGTCTTGTCCCGTATTCTTTTGGTTACATAATTTGGGTTGTAAGTAAAAATCCGTTATATCCGATTTGGAATTGTGTTTTGGGTGGTTTTATCATTAAAATAGAACGGATATTTCGATGTTTTTCTAGAAATTAATATCCCATATTTTGAGGTTAATTAATGTTATGCCCAGATCTGTAGGTTTCAAATGTTTGGTCCTTCATGGCCTCTGGTCCTTCATTGCCTTTGGTCCTTCATAGTCTCACCTCTGGTCCTTCATGGCCTTTAGTCTTCTTCCAGACTTAGCCATTTCAGCAGCCTCTGTCATTGCCTCTGGTCCAACCATTGCCTCTGGTCTTCCTCCAGACTTAGTCTTTTTAGCAGCATTTTCAGATTTTCTATCCTTGGTTCAGATGGCTTTGACAAAACTTTTAGAATAATTTAGGATCAATTTTGGTCCCAATAATCAATAAATTATATTACATTGGAGATTTTATAGGAATTGGTAATTTGGGGTTTGCTCAAGCATGACGTTACACGGTGATGTGTTGCTAGATACCGCTCATCGTTTATAACTATAAATATGAGATTTATATTTATTRCCAACATGTYRAGAACCCATTGGGTCACACGCTTTGAACATATTCGAATAAGGAGTTTCAATAATTAAAATGTTTAATTATCATATCTGATTTGTATCGATTTAATCTGATTAAATAAAATCAGATATTATTTTTGTTGGACATAAATAAAGATGACTAGGGATGGCTTTGTAAGAGAGCGATGGTGTATGAAGGTCTTACACTCAAGCATGGTGGAGGTATGGTGATGGCTAGGCCATACATCCCATGTCCATATAAAATGTATGACATTTTTTATGCTAGTGAGTTTTTTGGTCTTGCAATTTTCTCTCTTAAAAACCACCTACAGTAATATGCTCCCTTTTCTTTCTAAGTTTTGAAACTGTGACTAGCATCACGAGAAGGCAAAGGATTCGGATTGTTCACGTGGATACCGTGGAGGCATCAATCTTTGTTTGTTGTTGTGATTCAAAGTTTCGCTGACTGTGAGGTATAATTTCGAAACACCCGATTTATTCCGGTTTGTATGGATCCTTGGAGGGTTACGGTTTTATTTTCCGCTGTGCTTGAGATCCCGTAACCCAACACATCCCACCTGGTATCGAGTGGGATATATTGGGTTCATTTGTCTTGGTTTTACATTTTTCTCCTTTATTGAAAGGTGTTTTAGACATTTAATAAAACACTTGTTTAAAAAGACACTAGGATAAGATTGAGATTTTGTTGGTTTGAAGGAGTTCAATACATCATGGGACATTAAAGCCACACCAACTTTTATCTTTCTTAGAGATGGGCAACAAGCAGATAAAATCGTTTGGGCAAATGAGGAAGAGCTTATAAACAAGATCGAAGTTGATGTGCTAATTCGTGTACCCAACTCCGGTAGCTGCTTTTCTACTTCATATACAACATAAAAGCACCCTGGATGACCGCTTAACCGACTGTGAACAAAGAAGAAGAAACAACATACAGAAACATTTTATTTTCAAGTGATTGTTGGTTAAGTTTTATTGATGTTGATAAGAATATATGTGTAAGGTTGTAGGGAGATTGATAAGTACCTGAATCATTGTAGTTTGTGAATTAATAGATGTATGTTATGTGGGAATCCTACTATTCCCTATTTACGTCAATGTTTAGAGGAGAATATTAATCAAACAACCCTACAAATTTTCAATATTAATCAATGTATTTGATTTGATTTTGAGGGTAGATTTAGCAACATCCATTGTTAAATCCATTTTTTATCATTTGTTATAGTAAAACCCCATTGTATATGAAAAGTAGAACCTGAGGAGTGAAAGCGTAATAACATGAAAGTGGAAGTTTAGGGGAGTCTAAGCCAAACTATCAAATTTATGGGCTAATATTTTTTTTAAGTATATAATAGTTATATATGACAAATAGAACAAATAAACTCATACACCTTTCTCACCTTTGAACTAATAATGTAAGTAGCAAGTGATGAAATATGTTTGAAAAGTCAGAACATGTCTTTGGAGGTTATATTATGAGGGCAGCATTGATTGGAACCATGGTTGATAGTCGTCTAAATGTCCATTTGCATGAATTATACTGAAACTTTATTCTCTCTTAAATTCCAGCAAAACTGTAAAAACTCAGAAGAAGATACAAGCAATTAAAGTGGGAAAAATTTATTCAAGGAGTTTTACAATGATTAAGGAACAAATTAGCAAGTTTATGTAGCGTAAAATGGTTTACAATTGCTTGGTATGTGTATTGGGTCAAGTGTAAGTCCATTGATTTGAGTATGAAGACCGTTATTGGTATTATGTTATGAACAGAGAACGAAAAACATAAATTATGGCATGATTTGGTGATGTTTAAATGGATCAAAGTGATTTGGGCCAGAATCAAATCAACTGTAACAAAAATGTGCCGAGTTTATGTGTAAATAGGCATGGATGTGCATAATTGCCTTGTAATTTGACACCACCATGCCATTAGTAATAATAGTACCATGTGTCATGGTTTGCTCACGTAAATCAAAATGTATGATGCGTGTAGGTAATGTTTAAAAACCTGTATGATACGTGTAGTTAATGTGGAAGCAAAACATTGTAACCTACACGAACTCGATGTGAGTTATCTAAAATAGGATACACAAATAATTTATGATGATTATATATGTATGTTATGCTTTCATGTTTGAAGATTTAGCATGCTAATACTTTATGAAACATGTTATGCATAAAAGAAAACATTTTGGCTATGTGTGTCACGTTTCAAGACATTCGTGGTGATATAGTGAGTTAACCCAATTGATGCAAGGGGTAGGATACATGCATCATGAGGGTGCCTCTTTGCTTGGCCAACACAAGTTATGTGCCAAGTTGAGCTTGACAATGTTGTTTTTGTTATAATTTTGTTTTATCTAAACGATGTTACAAGTATTTGATCATTTAAACTAAAGCTTTTACAAGAGCATGAGACTACATGCCAAGTCAAATATTACATTTTCTGAGTATCTAAGCCAATTTGCATGCATCTCGACAACCCTTAGACTAGATTTTGAACTATATTGAACATTATGAGGCTTGGGTTGGGCTTTTGCCAATTTGAAGAGCTAGTCATTCTCTTAATCCTCCCAAGCTTCTATGAAATGTCAATTTCAATTCCAAATTGCATTTGTATATTGAAGTAATCTATGTTTTTGCACTATGAGACTGTTCGGTTGGTTTTTCATTTAGTGTTGTATGAATAAAATTGTTTGTGGATTAATCTATCTTTATAGATTAAGTAGGTTTTTGATTGAGGGGTTTTTCATAGATGAAAGGATTGTGTTTTTAAATTGGGAGGGACAGATTTGGAAAAAAAAAACTTGGTTTTCTACATAAAGCTCCCTCAAGAAGCTTACGGAATAAACCATTAAGTCACTACCAAACACTCATACATAGCTCACGGAATAGGCTGCGTGAGTCCCATTTAAGTTTCTAACAAACAGGCCCATATGCGTGCAAAACATATAAGTGGAATGCATTTGCAGATTACATAACAGAACTCCATAACATCCTACTAGTTACATTAACTTATTGGAATTAATTCTCAGTAAAAGAAATAAACATACATGAAGAGAAGTGTTAAGGAGAATCATCCCTCTGTAGGAAAGGAGCAGCTGCAGGCCTCACATAAGTGAACCCCTTGAAGTGGTTCTCCTTACATTTGGGGCTGGCAGCCGGAGAATCCACCACCGCTGGCAACTTGGTCCAACACTCTTCGAAATTTGCTATACATTGTTTACCACCAACTGCTGGTACAAAACTTGGCTTCACTTCTCGACCCTCCAGTTTCTTCCAGTCGATCACTTTGAACCATTTGTGGCTTTTTATCTCATCACTTCCACCACCTCCACTGCCAAGCCGCCTGCTTGACTCCTTTTGTAGCAACTAAACAACAAACAAAATCATTCAACCTATCACTAACCACCCAAGAACTAAATGTAAATATATATATATATATAGGGGAAGTAAATTACCCCTTTGAGAAGGGAGTGTGCTTCACTTGACAAGAAGGTTGGAAGCTTCAACTTATCCTTAACTATCTTTTGCTGAATTTTCTGTCTGTTTCCACCTCTAAATGGAGGCTGCACATCAAAATTACTTGCTTACAATGAAAACCCCATGCTAAAGCTTCCATGAAGTGATCTGTTAAAAAGAAAAGAAGACCAACCTTCCCTGTAAGCATTTCATACATTAAAATTCCAACACTCCACCAATCAGCTGCCTTGTCATGGCCCCGCCCTTGTACAATTTCAGGCGACATGTATTCTAACGTTCCACACATGGAATTTGATCTTGTGCTCTCATCAAATTCCTTGGCTACGCCAAAGTCAGTCAACATAACCTGAAATAAACATACACCCACAAACCAGATATAGATAAATCAACATTTAATATATACTATATAACTTAGAACAAGAATAAGGATCTTACATGCCCCTCTGCATCCAGAAGAATATTTTCAGGTTTCAAGTCCCTGTGCATTATGCCATTAGCATGGAGATGTGAAACAGCAGAAACAATCTCAGCAGTGTAGAAACGTGCCAACTCCTCCCTGCATACCAAAAATACATGTTATATAATTGCAACATCATGAAACATAAAAAATTTCTCCTCTCTATTTTTCTTGTTTTCTCCCATATTACTCAACTAGCTTGGGATGAAAGGCTTATTGGGGTTGGGGAGTTCAAAGAGTACACATACCTGAACAAGCCTTGCCGATAGAGTTGAAAGAAAAGGTGACCCCCATTTACAAAATCAAGAACAAGGAACAATCTATATTTGGTCTGCATTCACATAACCGGAAAACAAACATTAGGTCTGGATATAGTAACCTCCAATAACTTTTTAATAATTTGTCAGAAAGCAACTGAGTTTCAACAATACAATACAATTTTTCTGTGAAGTGAAGCCTTTTAAAAAAAATATTTAAGGACCTTACAAAGACTAGGGTTTATTTGTTTACTACTTTTCTAATTTGTAGTTCCTTTTTACTTTTCATGTAAAGTAAATAGAACATTTGCAATGTAAAAAGATCCGTATAATCCACATGCTTTGCAAATGACGAGATCATTGCCTGGAATGAGTATTTGAGCTGCACAATGAAGGGATGATCCACTTTTGTCAAAATATCTCTTTCCGCTTTCATATACTCAGCATGATCTTTCTCAAAGATCCTATCCTTTCGCATAACCTTCATTGCAAAAATTTCCGATGTACCACGCTTTCTCACTTGATAAACTTTTGCAAATGCTCCTTGTCCAACAACTTTAAGAACTTCAAAGTCTTCAAGTCCCACACTATGGTTTTTCATCGAATTGCCATCATCATCATCAACGAAAGAAGGTTCTTCGAGTTCTTCAAAAGCCATTGTACTGACCCCCTCAACAAGATCATATTCAGTCTCATGTAAAGTGAGCTTGCCAAGCTTCACCAATTGACTGGCAAAAGGTGTAGGACCCACCAATGAATGACACCGGCTACAAATTACTTCTGGCTCATCATACACTAATTCATTTGCATTGGGTGCAGAAGACATTCCAGGTGCCACACCAAAGACATCAGAAAAATCCAACTCATTCTCAATATGATCTACAAGAAGAGCATCAGGAGGTCCCATTGGAAGCAATTGGTTCTGGAAAACCTTCCTCGTTCCAGTCATGTGCAAACATTGAGAAGCAACCATTTTCCAATGTTGGAGATGACTTCGTTTACCGCAGATGGAATTTCAATTCTTCACCGCTCCTGATGAATTTCCCTTCAGATCTCTAAATTGATGAAGGACAGCTCACAAAGAACAGGACGGTCAAGTACAAGACAAGAGTCCCAGGGAACCTTGAGAACATGCAAATCAGAATCCAGAAAGGGAAGTTGTTCTTGTTTCCCGCTTTACAGGAAACAGTAGATGCAGCAGTGCTTCTTGAAATCATGAAGGCCAGGCAGTCAAGCTGCAGTTCAGAAAAGCAGTATTAGAATTCCATCATGGCACTGTTGATTGATGGTATATCTGTTTGTAATCGAACATCAAATGTTGAAACCCCTAGCATTCAGAAACATAAATTTTGTTCTTCTATGCACTCCAATCTAAGGGCAACTCCTTTGGCATAAGCCACACACATTTTCTCTTCAATACTCTTCCCATGTCAATCCTGGACAACCTCAACCTCTCTAGGGGTGTAAACTCACCAAAAAAACAAACAAACTTGAAGAGCCAGTTTGACTGTGCTACCTGAGCTCAAGCCTTGTATATGTAGCAAGAATAAATGATCCAATCCCATAAGAGCCACTAAATGTAATATATATTTTTTTAACCCACAAGTCTTGGCTCATGGGGTGTTCTAACTGTAAATTTTCAAGAAAAGTTGACTTATAATTTTATTTGAAGGTTTAAATTTTCATTTATATGAACCCATACACCAAGCTAGCTCAACCCAGGGCCAGAGCTTATTTGGGACGATAAACTCCACCCCTGTAAAAAGCCAACCCGAGGCTCAAGCTTTTGATGAGCCAAGCCAGAGATGAGTGATCGAGTATTTTAGCTCGAAAGATACAATTCAAACCCGAGCAGATCTATTTTTCGTGAGCCAAGTTTCAATTCACGCAAGTTTGGGAAGTCGACTTCTAACTGGAGCATCCAAAAGTATACGTTGGAGATGACAAAACCACCTCAAACGGTGTTGGCTCAGCTTCTCAACAGGTGCCCATCCATCTCAAAATCTCCATTTTTTGCTACAAACATCTTATGTTCATCTTTTCTTTTGGTGGCCAAGCATCCAAATCCACCCTGTAAAGCACAAGAAGGTTTGCTTCCATTTTACAGAACTTCGCTTTCAGTTTCCATGGTACACGTTGATCAAACAAGACTACTAAAGCTTGCTGTCATTTCAATTAACCTGCTATTATCCTATGACTAACATCCTCGTCAATCTCTTCATCTTTTTGTAGAAATGATCTAAATAAGGAAAGATATCCTTCTAAACTATTTCTTATCATGCTACGTTCACTGCATCTTCCTCTTCCATATCAATTGGGCTAAACGTGAAATTCATATACTTCAATTTTGTTTCGAATTAATCTGAAACCTTCTGTTTACAAACCAAATCAAACAAGCCGAGTCTGTCCCACCTGAAGGTGGGGTCTAGGGAGGGTGAGATGCATGGAGACCAGGCCTCTACTCGAAGGAGTAGAGCGGCTATCGGCTGTTTCTGTGAAGACCCCCTGGCTTGTGCAAAGTGTGTGGAAAAAAATGCAGAAAAAGAACATATGAAGGACAAGAAAAGAAAACTTGAAAACAAGTGCAACATTGTTAAAAATCGCAAAACAAGTTAGAAGGAATCAACAAAATTCAATTGGACAAGGAAACAACAAATACAAACAAAAGCAGGTACAAGAAAAAAAATAACATAACCAATGTAGGAAGGGCTGCACACCCATGGTATAATTTTAGGATTCAGTAGGTCGAACTGTCGGCTCACTAACCCTACCCCTATCCTCTATCTCTCCAGACTCCTTCCTCCCACCTATGCTAGCTATAAATCCTCACCCCTAGTCTTCTATCCTAATATTGCGCTTCTAAGAACTCCTATCAGCGGTCATGTCCTCAGAAATGCCTAAAACCTCAGTTGCTCATCCCAAGTCCTCTTCGGCCTACACCTCCTCCTCACTCCCACGACCCTCACACTTTTTACCCTCCACACCAGAGCCACCACCTGTCTCCTATGAACATGACCAAACGACAGCAACTTTCCCTCTCTCAACTTACACAAACAACCAAACCACGTTCCCCAATGTTGATTTCCACCCCCTCGTCAATGCTCTCCCCGCTGAGATTGCACCATGAATATTCTGCCTAAGAGAGACTAATGCATAGCCCTTATAAATCCAAAGTGTTCTCCAAACCTTTAAATTTAGGGTTAACACCTTGCATCAACACCAAAACTGCAAAAGAAATAAATATAACTCTTCTTTTTTGGTTCTTAGTCCTATTTCCCAGAAGTGCGTGTGTAAATGGCGTGGAATTTAACAGATTGGACTATTAACAGAGAAGGAAAGACATGCACTTATATAATTATTAAATGCATGCTAATGGACACTGTCGCTGAAACAAAAGATATCCAACCAGATCATATTTCCTGAAATCATAGTCCCCATTTCATGTTTATAGGATCCAAAACTAACATTAACAGGCACTGTTGCATATTTGAACATCTCAAAACTTACAGGCTGTAACCACAAGGGTGGTGCCTGATTGGTTTGAGCTTGACTCCAAAGGTCAAAAGTACCAGGAGGTCCCAGGTTCAAATCAAAGTAGGAATAAAAATCCCCTTGTGGCCACGGAGGTTCAAATGCGGTGACTCCGGGCTATCTGCAAAGCAGGTGGTCGTCCTGGGATTAGTCGGCTCGCATAGCGGGTTGGATATCCAGGTTAATCAAAAAAAAAAAAAAAACTTACAGGCTGCAACATCGTGACTTAGCTTACTAGCATGACCACTACTATTAGAATGTATCAATAGAAACAGTGAATGTCATGCATCAAAAAATCCACATATTTTAGCCCAAGGAAATGTTGTAATAGTTGATGTTCAAGATCACGACCCAAATGCTCGTCAGTTTCTAAAGATTCACAAAATGTAAATTAACAAAGAAATACACTTATGTAATTTAACTACAACAAATGTTATCAGGAAACTACAAAAAAATGGGAAGGAGGGACTTCATTCAGCCATCTGAAGGGGAACAAATACTTTTTTTTAAGGAAAATCCAAACAAACAAGGACAATGACTTTCTTTAGAAGATCCAGATACAGGGAAAGGAAGACTTCCTTAAAGAAAATCCAAACAAACAGGAATAAAGACTTCCTTTAGAAAATCCAGATAAAGGTAACCTACACTTGTTTGCGACTTTCTTTTATCAGAATCAAGTAAAGGAAATTGAAGATTCTTCTTGCCCCACTATTATGGACAAATTCTTTTGGTACTTAAATCTAGCAAACCAGATATCTAACTCAGAATTGAGCAAAACATAATAGAGCAGAGATAGCCATAGACTTAACAAGACAAATTAAAAGGAATTATCCTCATCGCTGGTAGCATAAGAGATCTCTATTTATCCAACTGCCAACAAGAATTAAAACGTACAATGGCACACATGCAACGCGCCCAAGATTCACGAAACACTACCGATCCAAAATAAAAAAAGGCTAAAATTCTCCCAATAACAGAAAAGAAACACAACATGAAAAATCGACAAACAATGACACTAGAAATTGACCAGTATTAAACCCTAAATTCAGTATCAAACCGATCAACAGAATTCCTCGCTAAATGAAACGTTAAAAAACGACTAAAAGCACAAAAGCATTCAATTAAGATGATAAATTACCGGAAAATAAAGATGATTTATGAATCGTTTTTTGGTGTTACCTGTGGAGAGATCGTCGATGGGGTTCCCTGAAAGAGAAAAGCTGTCCGGGAAAGAAATATGAAAATTTATCGATTTGCCGCTTATAACTGACTTAAAAGTTACTATTTAATTAAAAAATGAAATAAGGAAATAAAGACGTGGCGTGATCTGATTGTATGAAAGGCTATAACGTCCAGCTTTGAGGTTACATTACATTCACGCATTTTTCGGTTTTTTCTGGTGGGACCCACTGCGGGGGTTTTTTTGGCTTGTGGGGAAGGAAGTTCTTTTGGGCACGGCTAACCAATTGTTTTGAGGGAATTGCAAAATTAGTCCCTGGACTATTGTTTAATCACAAAAGTTGATGTTTCTAATTTTACAAGTTTGTGGTGTGAGAACAGTGAGTCATTCATCCCCTCGGCCATCAATGTTTTATCATAAGGACTTAAAAAAGTAGTATGAGAAGTAAATAAAAAAAAATTGATCAATTAGCAAATTGAGCCATGTTTTCATATGACAGTTTGTATCAGTATGCAATTCATTCACTTTCTCAATCAATTTACACATATAAAAGAAAATAGTTAAACCTAATGCTTGATTTTTCATTTTAATTTTGTTATCATTTTGATGAATTATGTATTTCGTTCACATGAATGGAATTTGATTTTAATTTCAGATATTTGAAACCAGAATGAGAAGTAAGAATGTATGTCTAAGGGGTGTTGGATTGGTCCCCCATGGAACTTTTATATAAATTATTGTTGTAAAATTTTAGTATTTGATTTTATTTATGAATTAAAAAAATTAGAAAATGATAATTAAAGAACAAGGGTTTGTCAATGCTAAAACATTGTTAGATGGATCAAAATGTATATATTGAAAAATTCAAGGATGATTTATGTCATTCTGCCCTAATTTCTAAAAGGATGCGGTGGGATTATGGATATGCTCCTGCTTATTCGAACCCATCTATGGAATCTAACTTTATTTTTTATCATATATATTAGTGGTGTACCCGTGTGATACAGCGTGGGTGAACCACAATTATGAACATTAAGTTTAGCCTTGAATCATAAGTTTGTGTGGTTATTTTGTAAGTTAACAAATATATAAAGTTACAGGTTAATATGGTATATTCACAAGATTGAATGGAAAAATAATTTCTCAAAAATTGGGTTTTTAACCAATATACTTATAACTTATTACAAAACTTGAAGTTCTTGACTAAACAAAGAAATACAATCATTTGTAAATAATGTTCATTCGTATATCAAAATTGTTGTTTAGTTTTCGTGATGCATTCATCCGTATATTCAAACTGATTGTCACTCTTGAAAACTAAACAAATACCTTAATATGTTAGCTATTAGTTCATTCATTTTTTTGCATTTTCTATATCAGACCAAGGAAAATTGATTAATAAAAAAGAGAGGCTAAAAGAGTACTATTATAAAAGGCAGAACTTGGTGCATCCATATGACCATATTGTTGGTTTTCATATACTTATTAAGGATCTAGTAGGAGTGCTTACCGGTAAAATTAGTTAGAGTGTTGATTCTTATCAACAAGTGCTTACCAAGTAAAAAAGAAACTCCTAAAAACCTATGAATATGTTGAAAAACCTCTTCAAAACCTCCAATATAAAAACCCACATTATGATGCTCCAGAAACTTGCTTCTAGAACATAGAGATTAATTCCTCATTATGGACTAATTGATACCCAGAAATGTAGAAGTCGCTTCATACAACACACATCTGCTTTGAGTATAAATGTACTCCTAGGACTATTCAAATTATGAAACAACTTCAAATGTAAACGAACGTAAATGAACATTAACGAACATAAACAAATGTAAACAATAGGTGATCCGTCGCTAAAAGCTATCTTAATTTCACATCAAGCATCCCTCTTTAACACACTAAAATGGTAAAACATAACAACATTGATGCCTTTTTATATGTCGATAGGTTCGGAACACTTTGGAGCAAAAAAGGGACAAATAGAAGATTTTTTACAGCTTTACGAGACTATGGTATTTCCAGCATATCTAACTAGTCTGAGCTCGGATTTAAGTTATTCAAGATGATCTGGAAAGCTAACAAACAGCCCCACAACTTTTAAGTTTTGAGTTTTTGCAGATTTGGACTGCTTCTAAGACGAAATCGACGTCGAAGGTGGAAAAGAGCTGTTGGACAGCACCTGACAGCAGCCACGAAAGTCTTAATCTTACCTTAAGAAAAACTTTCGTGGCTTTGTCATTGCAAAGACAGCTGCAGTAAAAACAAGGGGAAAGGTCTTCTAAGTTGGTTTTACGTTGGAGTCAATTTGGGTGGAGAGTTGTGTTCTTCTGTTAGCATATATAACAGCAGAGTACCTGCAAATCCACTAATCCATATACATTGGCTATCTGCAATATGCAATATGCAAATTTCTACTGCATCTGCAACAAATGCAACAAGTTCATACCTGCTAGTTGATGTTCATGATGTATATCCATATTCATATCTATATACATCCATTAAGATACAATCCTTCCTAGTTCCAACACTTGCAAATCATGGTTTGTTTCTAAAATTTAGTAACAAGAATAAACAAGAAATCATGGAGAAGAAACTGTTAGGATTTCCCAGCAAAGTTCTCTTGGTAATTTTGGACTCGAACAAATGGGAATATGTTAAGCTTTGAACGAGACCAGCAAGGAAGTGAGCGTTGAATATTCTTTCATTCCCCTGCATACATCAAGGATCAACATCTATAAGGTTCAAATGATCTTGCAAAAACATGTGCATGAAGAAAAGCAAGCATTATGATCCATATTACATACCACTCTTCATATTAGCTCCCAAGACAGAATCATACATGATAAGCATCACATATCCACTATAAGCTTTTGAGAAATATTCACTGTTTTAACAAATATACCACTATAACTGCAACATTTGACTATATTCTATTTGCAAAGTATGAAATACCATTAAGTGACARCAAATTAGAGGTAGTTTGTGCACTAAAATGGATGTTACCATGTTTTGAAATGATTACTAATSRACAAAGACAAAGTTTGGAATAAAAACATGATTAAAAGGATAATGTTGCATTATTTTAAAACATTTTCACATTATGATCATTAAAAGAATTTTCAATTCTAACAAATGAAATGACAATGTACAACTTGTCCTTTCATTCTAATGAAGCATGCATTTGTTAGTAAATYCTAAGCATAAAAATATGTCTCTTATTAGCATAAAAAGACACAACTATAAAAAGAGCATAACTTTACATTGCAATAGTCAATCTCAATCATATTTATGCATCTTGCTTGAAATATATATCAAGGTATCAAGTGCAGGTTATTGTAAGGTTTTTCAAGTGCAGGGAATTGTATATATATCAAGGTTTCAAGTGCAGGGGATTGTAAGGTTTTTCAAGTGCAGGGAATTGTATATATATCAAGGTTTCAAGTGCAGGGAATTCTAAGAAATGCTTGACTCTAACGATTTCAGCTTCTTTGCATGTAGATGATTGGAGAACATTAAATATTGTACCTCAACATATCATTCCCAAGTAGGCTTTGCTATTGCCATTTCCAWGCATCCAATCTTTCTATTCTGTTACCTCCTGAGACCGAAAAATTTGATCAATTAAAACATTTTTTTGTTGTTTGTGGATTTTATTCATGTGATGAGAGAAGGGACCTGTACGTCAAAGGAGGTAAATTTCAATGTAATGTCACACGTGAGTTTGTGAAATATTAAGTAGATTGCATATTGCTATCATCATGTCGACTCTTGTACTATCCTCAAAATTCCAGCTGATTGAGCTATCAAAATTCCAGCTGATGAAAATCATAGCAAAATACATATCCCTCAAGAAGAATGTCAGGTGAAAGAATCCATATTTATAGGAAAAACATATCTAAATAGACCAACTCTTTACAATTACCAGAACCAAAGTGAACACTACCCTCTAGACTGTTATTATGGACATCAAAAGTAGTAAGTTTGGCAAGATCATAAAGGCTATTAGGCAATGCACCAGTCAACTGGTTGTTAGCAAGTGAGAGTGTCTGCAGGCTGCATCACACTGCAATTCCCCAGGGATGAAGGAATAAAGCCCAAAAGTCGATTGTTGACCAACTGCAAATCTATAAGCTTGGTCAGGTTACACATGCTCATTGGGGTTCTGACCACTAAGCTGGTTAGAACTGAGATAAAGACTTTCCAATTGAAGACATATGCCAATTCAAACAGAATACATTTTAACTTTTAAATATCATGCTCAACGGGTCTGTATGGATCTTTATGTTTAACTATTTTAAGTTTTTGTAATTGTGCATAAACCTTTAAGATTTTGGTGACATTTGAGGAGCAGCAAAAACTTCATTATTTAGAAACAGCAGGAAAAGAAAGAGATTTTGCTAATCTTGATTCAGAATAGGTTTTGAATGATATAGGACTAACAAAAGTATATGATTATAAGAAGCAATAACTAATGGACGCAATGTATGCTTTTGTTCGAGACATCTAGGTGAAAATAGGAAAAATATCATACCTTATTAGTGTTAACGAAAACAATAAAGTAATATTTCAGATTTTGTTTCAACAAATAAAAAGCACCAACACTTGTACATTTGCACCTCATATAATTTTTCTTCAACAAAAACATCAAACATCAGTAATATCCTTGTAAAGGGGTGTTTTATCCATCAAGTAAAGTTCAAGTTAAAATTAAGTTAAAATAAAAGAAAGGGTGAGTTAAAGAAACAAGATGCACACACACATACATATAGTCCAAAATTAATAGAACAGTCTGATGACATTCTCAAGCCACATACTGATCTATGTAGAAGTTAAATGGAAGCACATATGACTAAAATGACACAGATAAGTTGACCAACCTAAGCTTAAGATAAAGCATGCCAACTATTATAAGGGCATAATGGTAATTGCAAACATATATCCTTCAACACTTGATTTTATTAAATAGTTAGTTTTAAATTATTTAACAATAATCTCAACAACCATGCTCTTGGATGAAGGGATAACAA